AAAAAAAAGAAGGGAATACTTATTTATAATTGTTCATTTATTATGTTGAATATTTTTAAGGTGCATTACAACATTTAAAAATATATTATCTTTCAATTATATTTATAATACAAACAGAAAAAACACTGGCTGATAACTTCTGAACCAGTATTCTGGTAATTATTAACCAGTTAACCACGTATGGTTAATTGGCATAAAAATAGAATAATTAAAAAATCTAAAATTAATTCCATTTTTAAGAAAAGGAAAAGAGCATAAAACCATATATTTTTATGATAATTAAAGTGAGTAGTGACTAATAAATTTTGAAAATAAAAATTATATTTTAACTAATACTTTTCAAAATATTAAATATTGAATTAGTTCACCATAGATCACCCTGTAAGTATTTAGTTTGTTATAATTTATCTTTTATGATATATTTATAATATAGAAAAGTAGTTTATACATATTTACAAAAAAAACATCTNAGAAAAGTAGTTTATACATATTTACAAAAAAAACATCTAGTTTCAAAAGTTTTACAGAAAAAAAAAACGATTAAAAATATGAATAACAAGATTTTGCTGAGTATCCGGAGATAGACAATTTTACGTCAAACAAAATTTATAAAAAATTATTGTTACAATGCTAGTACTCTTAGATATAGAAGTTATAACTTAGGTGAGAGTACCTTTGTGGTCTAAAAATAAAATTCAACAAGAATAATTGGTTAAAATTATTTAGAGATTTTTTTTTTTTGGTGCGTTCCCCAGATCCTATACCGACGAAATAATACTAAGATAAATCTTAATATTATTATTATATTAGAAAAAAAATAGTGGTCATCGATGAATCATTCATTCTGTATGTATAGTAATGAAACTGTGTTCTAACAATACGAGTACTATGCTTATCAGACAAACATATTTAACGCGGTTTTCTTAAATATATAATAATATCATTGTTATTATTATTAGTCTACATGTTATGTAGATTAATAGAAAAATGACCCTGTTATAATTATTTGATATACATTTAACGTGATTCATTAAGCATCAGTAATATAACACAAATAACATATATTTTCAACACATCCTATAAATTAATAATCTATATAAGCTCAAAAGTTTAACGCTCATTGTTAACCAAACCTTTCATTACGATCCTTTTGGAGTGGCTTTGTCACTGTAGCCAAACATAAAACATATTAAATTATACAAAAAACAGATTGTAACAAAATAAAGCAAATTGAGATACCTAAAAATTGATCACGTAGATTGTGTTACTTAACTATAACTGACTAGCACAACCGCTAAAAGAACTGTAATCTGATTCACTTCAGTAATTGTTAAAATTAACTTTAATAATAACACATAATTTTATGAAACTATACAATTTTATATGAAAAAAATGTTATTTTTTGTTTGAAAAACGACAATAATTGCTTTTTAATTTCATAACTAATATATATGAACCAGCATAAGCGAAAATACTAACATACATTAGTTAATAATAATAGTGGAAATACTAATTTATTTACTAATTTAAATAATATTATTTCTAATTTCTGAACATGCCAGTATTAAATACAACAGAATCACTGATATTTGTATACATTTATTAAAAATAGTTTTAGTAACAAATGAATTATTAAGTTAAAAACAAATTTAAGGTATAGAAAATCAATAAATATTACATGATAAGTATAAAAAATTATTGGAAAAAAGTAAAAGACAATATATGTAACAAATAAAAAAATTAGAATATCTCAAATATTAAGTAAAAAAAATATGAATAATATTAATTTAATATATAATTAATTTATAAAAATATAAATGAGAATATTAACATTGTAGTCAGACCTTAGAAATTAGAAATTATTTATCGGAAGAAGGTTTTTTTTTGATTTTCAACATGTTTTTGCCATCGAATTTATTATCAGGTGTCGAGTGGAACTCGACGGCGCTCGAGTAAACAGTTTTCTTAGACGATTTTCCCTCCAAGATTGTGTTCGAGCTTTTCTTTTTGGGCAGATTTTTACGCTGGTCAGTAGGTCGAGCTGAGCTAGAGGAAAGCCCTGTTGAATTAAAAAATATATAGAAATTAAAAATACAAATATTGCAAATGTGTTTCGTAGCGAATAAATTAAAATTATACCATTATAATCGTTTTTATAATCTTGCGAGGTCTGCGATTCATTTACCGAATCTGAAGTTGAAGAAATGGCCTTTGGGATTATTGTTTTTTCAGACTCATCCGCACTAGGGCGTAACTCGACAGAGCTCGAGTATTTAGGTCTCTTAGAAGACCCATTGTCGTCAAAAACGTTTGGTCTTTTCGACGAACATGAATTTTTAAAAGGTTCCTTCGGAATTCCCGACTTAGATTTAAGCTTTTTTGTACTTGATCTTGGCTGGGGTCCGACTGCGTCCTTTTCCTTACCATCGACGACGACTTTTTTCTTTGGAGATGATTTGTTAATATCTGTCGAAGTCGATTTAACAGGAACGTCTTGTGGATTCTTCATTTGCGGTTTTTCTGATACAGATTTTGTTGACGAGCATTTTGGGTTGGCCTTTGGTAAACTCTTACTAGTGGACACAATAGCAGACTTGTTATTATTACAGTTGTGTATATGGGCGAAAGATGGCGTTATAAACGGATAAGTAGGATTTTCACGTAAACGCTTGAGTTGAGCAAATAATCTCTGAGTCTTCGTTTTCATCGTTATGGATTATTTAAAAAATTATTTAAAAACTTAAAGGTTTGCACGATGTTGACTTTGAGAACAATTAAGATGATAGACACTTTAAATTAAAAATTTTCAAAGGAGTAATTGTATTCGTAAAATTTGTCTGCTTATATAAGAAAAAAAAGTGTATCCGTAGTAACTATTAACAAGTTTCTTATAAGCTAACTAATATTTTCTACATTAAACTACAAAAATTGTTTATTTTCGTTAGTAACATATATCAACCAGCACAGAATAAGTTGCAAAACAATTAGTTTTACTATGATGTTCTAATTTTTTTAATTATTTGTATCTCTGGCCATTCGGTTCAGATCACAAATTATATCTAGCCAAGTATATTGGAAATATAACGATAAAACTACAATTTTAAATATTGTTTAATTATAATAAATTTTTTACTTATAACTATTAAGTAATATTTGTAAACTAATCTATCGATCTAGTAAACAACTGACAGCTTCAAACAAATTGATTTTTGTCATAATATTAAAAATCTCTATTGTTAGTTTTTTAGAAAAATTTAATTTATTAAATAAATTAATGTTGAAATGAGATGTAAACTTAAGATAGTTTAAAGTTGAACATTCAATGGAGTGGTATGTTAGCGTGCGTCTAGATGACCCGGTTATCTGTTTGTCCTACCGCAGGGGAGGTAATTAGTAATTTTTTGCAGTTATATATTTTTTAACATGATAGAACCTAAAGTAAAACAGTTGTAGGTTTTTTGCTATAGAAGAAAAGGACCTGTTCATTGTATGATATATAATTTTTTGAAAACTATGTTGTATTGTTATAGTTTCAAGTTTTTGGAAGTTTCTTTCATTGGATTTATCAATACCATTCAGTGAATGCCATAGAACCCTGTGACATGAATTTCTTTTCTAGTCACTTTTCGGTGTGATACTCTATAGTTTTTTTTTTCTAAGCATATTTGCTTCATATCAGTAAAACTTAGAATGGCACACGTGAATTAGCGTCAGAGAAATATTATGTATAATACTACGTTACTACTAATATGTATATTTCCTTGCTGAAATATCAATAGTTTATTGCTATTGTAATAATATTATATAAAATAAAANATCAATAGTTTATTGCTATTGTAATAATATTATATAAAATAAAAATTATTTGGTTTTATTAAATATTTCTTACTGTTTTATAAAAACTTTAATTATCACATTGTAGCTTTTATAAATTATTTTATATACAGTCAACTTAGGTTGTTATAATACTTTAATTAAATTTTTAGTCATTAGAAAGTATAAAAATATTATAATTTTTCCTTTTCAGAAATTCATAGTATCCTGTTCTAGTATTTCAAAAAAAAAAAAAAAAATTGGTCCTATCCCCTTTCTTTCCTCTTAAAAGTAGTATGAACATAATTTTTTAAAATGAAAACATATATGATTAATTATCTTAAAATTAAGAAAATGATCTAATTAAGTAACCGATAAGTTGATAACAACTTTTGAACTAGTGTTTTAAAAGATATTAGCACTTATTAATATGGCGTGAAAAATAGTGCGATTCATAATTATACAGAGATAAAAATAAACAGATTCATTTTATAAAAAACGCATTATTATTTTAAAGGTCACTGTAAAAAATAGAAATAAAAAAAACGGTAGCACAGTGAGGTCGCGGCACAGTATAAACGTGGCATAGTTGGGACAACTATAGATGATATCTGACAGTAATTAAAATCACTATCATAAGAAACGCTTGGATACAAATCTGTAGATAGTGTTTAATTTTAAGAAATTGGTAGATTATTTCAAAAATCACAATAACACTTATTCCCCTAATTTTATTCCGATTTATAATTATAATATATGAATACATAATAATTACAATAATTAAATTTAGTATGATATTGATATTCAATAATATAATATTGTAATTTTTACGGAGATATCATAAAAATAAAAAGGAGTTGTATATTCACATACTTTTAATGTCTATACAAATTTAAAGGGATTGATGCAATACCTTTTAATAAAAAAATTTTGTTACTTATGAATAAATATATAGACTAAAAGGAACTTTCATCAGAAACAAAAATATACTTTTCTAAATCAACTTTTCGTGATGTTTTCAAATGTGCGATTAAACTTTTTCTATTACTTCTAAGTTTTAATATTATTACTTATTATTAAAAAATAAGTATTTACATATAAAAAAATAATTGAGAACAAAAAAAAATTGTTTTAAATTAATACTGATTTTTATTATTAATATGTTAAAATAAGGAAAATGACATATTTAACCTATTTTTTTAATCGTTTAAAGTTGATTTTTGTGAATGTTTATAATAAAAAAAAATTTATTTATTTTACCATAACTTTTAGCTCAATTGACAAATTTGAAATTGACATCATTAAATAGAAAATTTTATTAGAATTAAAAAAATTGTACCGTTAAGATTAATATGCAGTTAGGAAGTTTTATAATTACTATTTATAGTAAATTTATCAGAGTAGCTCAATATTTTTTTGCATTTTTATCGTAATAGATTACTGAAATAGACATAATAGTAATCATTACCTAGTAACTTTTGATGTTTAAAAAGATTCTACAATTGAAATATTCAGAACTTAATTAATTTTAATGATTTGTTTTAACTAAATGAACCAATCAAAACAAAATTGTTACAAAGATTTACTTAATTGAGCGTATTATAAAACTTGATTATAATTGTAAAAATCTATTGTTAATTAAGGAGAAATTAACTATCATTTTTTTTAGAAATTATTTGTATAGCAACATGTTACCAAAAAATTTGGAATATTATAGTCTAGTAGTAGCACACACAAATAGAGTAAAAAAATTATTAAAATGTAATGAGGAAACTTGCTTGATGTTTCATTATTTCTATATGAAATTCCTACATATAAAATAACTTGCTTAAAATTATTAGAACTAAGCTAGTTTTTTTTATTGTTAAGCTAACAATAAAAAAAAACATAAAATCTAATAATTGTTCTGGAGCATTACTAGGACAATTCCTCACTTTACATTTTTTATACTCCGTTTTTAGCCTTAATATAAAGCCTAGAAACTATTAATTGAGCAATGATGTCTTTACTATTTTTTTTTTGTATGTTTCTCACTATTTTTTTACAGCTTTAACTTGACAGTTTTTTCAACAATACGTCAACAAAAAGAAGTGAATACATTACCTTCGAAATTTTAAAAATTTTTCCTCGTTCTTCGTAAATGGTGGAAATTTGTGATTATATTTTAAGTCAAGTTATGTGAGTGGAAAGGTAAATACTCCATATAACCCCCCCTTTACCTTACAAAATAATATTTAAAAAAATATTTAGGAGTTAGTTACAAATATTCGCCGCTTTTAATGTAAATCCAATAACTATGTATGAAGAAAGGGGGCTGCCTTTTCCAAAAAAATTTGTTCTAGCTACCAATAACTAATAATTATTAGTTTCATGTTAATCATTATAATTAACTGAGATGTCAAAATACAGAGTAAGTCTTTAATAAGCCATTCTTATACACAAAATTTCTCTTAAAATAATAATTATATCAAGAAAATCCATTTTGATATTTTTTAGTATCGTGTATTTCTCGATTTCTCAACTATAATATTTTTTTAAATTCAACCTTTATACCTTAAAAGGGTGTCAGCTTAATTTTTTTAAAAGCAACATACATATAACTTATAAAATAATAAATCTACTAATTAATTAAATAATTAGTGGAAAAAATCATTAGATTCATTATTTTACAAGTTACAACTATTTTAAATTATAGAGTGGAAGTGGTTTATGTTATTTTTATTATTAAGCATTACTCTGCCGCTCTTTTTCTCCAATTAATATTTAAAAATATTAATTTTCGATTAGCCATTTTCTTAATAAGACAATGTTTTGTTTTATTAGCTAGTTTAATATGTTTGTTGTTTTTTAAAATAGCAAAATTAATATTCTTATAAGATCTAAGGGATAAATTAAAAAATAAACTTAAAAATTAATAAATCAAAAAATATAAAAAATTACTTAAATTAGGTTTTCTGTTGTCATTTAGTTATTTTCTAAAAATCATTATACATAAATAAAATAAAAAACATTAATAATAATATGGTGAAAATTTTTATTAAAAACAATTAAAATTAGTCTTAAATGTTAATACTAATCATCTTCATAATATTGAATAATTTTTTTCGTTTACACCAGGTAAACAAAGTAATTTATTAACTTCTTTGAATTTTTTTTTTTTTAATTTAGATGAACAATTGAATTTACATGTTTTCTCTGGTATAATTTTTTAATACTTCAATGTAATTAAAGATCATTTTATTTTTTAAGTGTAGTATTTGTGTTTGTATTATAGTTATAACAAAAATGCTAAGTAACTATAGAATAAAGCATCCAACACTATCTCCCACAGAGATCAACTACCATGATAGCAGAGTTTTAAGAAGTCAAAAATGTTTAATAATATTAAATAACAATATTAAATTGTCATCGAGTTGTTAATTGGAAGAACGTGTTTATTAAAAATAATAATAATAATAATAATGACGATGTAGTAATAGTAAATGGCGGACCCAAATTATTGGGATTAAAGCGAAGAAAAAGAAAAAGATGTAGTAATGTAAATATAATAAATAAATAAAATAACAGTTTATTACATGTGCGTAAAAAACAATTTATGTATTATGTATCTATAAATCACTCAAACTGGAAACCGAGCTAATTGAACAAGTTAGACATTATTCTAAACTAACGTCTGTGAACGTTTTTAAAAGCAATTATATGTATTATAATCTAACAGCGTGGTGTTCAATTCTCAAAACGTAATTTAGTTATAAACTTAAAAAGAGAGAAATAGATATTTACAAGGCTGAACATAAACGAGTCAGTAAGTTAAAGTTAGTTTAGCTTTTCAATTTAATGGAGATATTTAGATTTTACGTTAACTGAATTTTATTTTATTTCTCTTTTGTTCAATGTTAATGAAATATCGTCAATTTAATTTTTAACAAACATTCATATAAACAAATAACAAATTTACCTTTACTATTAAATCGTGTTTTTTTTTTTATAATTTAACTTAATTTTAACGAGTTAAAAAAATCATTAACTTGCCCAGATTTGGACAATTAAAAACTAGTATAATTCATTTTGTTTAGACATCCATGATTTTCCATCTTTGTACACAACTTTTTAATGGTATGTAGATAACCGTCTTCCAAGTATGCAATTTTGAATGGCATTAAAAATCTTACCACAGTGTGTTTTGTGACGTAAATATCGCAAAACGCTTAACAAAGTATAGTACAATGTCTTGTAACCATTT